CTGAATGAAACGTAATTGTACACCTAACCCTTAACTGTACCCCACAAAACCATAATAAAAAATACTGATTAATGAAAAAAAAAAAAAGAAAATAGGACTTCTAAGATTCTTACAGGTTTTGTTTCACATTAGCCAGGTACACATAAACATAAAGAAATATGTCTCAAAAATAATTATGGATGTGGTTTTTGGAGTATAAAGTAAACCCCAATATGATTCCTAAGAAGTGCACAAAACTTAAGGTTATTATTTTGGCAAGGCATTACCTACTTAGATTAAAAAAGAAAGAGAGTGCAAAATGAAATGTCCTCTTGGCAAAGGACTTGAAAAGGTACCACAGAGAAGATTTTCAAATGGCCAATAAACATTAAAAAGTTATTAATCATCATTGTTCTTGAAGGATAGACAAAAACACTAAGATATTGCTCCATACCAACTGAAATTGCTAAATTTAGAGTATGCAAATAGGAACTGTTGTGAGATACAATTCTTATATTAATAAAACAATTTTTCTTATATACATAAATATTCCTAAATGCTCTCTTATTTAAAGACAGTTATTTCTGAAAAATATTTTTTAGCATAATATATTCTATCTAACTCTTCTCTACCAAATATGTGCATATATTTACATGTTGCTGTCTACTTGGTCTCACTATTTAACTTCTTATTAAACACTGATGGCTTATCATCACTTATATGAATTGTGTGAAGAGATCTAAAATAACCTTTAGAGACTTACTACTTTCATCATGACTAATAAACATATATGGCATTCCATTATCACTGTCACTGATAAAATGCCAAATTCAAAACCCTAACATAACTCAATGGAACTGTCACTGGTATATGTTTTGAATATTTATTCCTTAATGTTCTTATCTTTTTCATTGTCTAATTCTAGTTGACAGTCTAATAATTCCCACTGGTAGAATTCTGCAGACTTCAGGTCACTAAAAAACCCCAAAGCACATTCCCTATTGCATCACAAATTAACAAAAGAGACTTTAGAGTTGATAATATTCCAACATGAGAACATATATTTAAGAACAAATTCTGGAATAATCAACTCATCTCTCCTTTATCAGACCGAAAAGAATAAGCACTTGTTCAGGAATAGCATTGAGCTTGTGGTGAGATAAATTTTTGTCATTCTTTCAGTGAAATAGAGAGAAACGAAAAATTTGGGGGAAATTATACAGTTTGCCTTGGACATCTGCTGCCTTGAAATTTATGAGAACAGAATACTCCTTCTGAAACAGAGTAAGGGTGAGTTCTAAATACAGATGGATTGCACTTTTTTTTACCATTTCACAAATAAACTTCCTGCCACATCTGATGCTTAGTATTATTTAAAAGGTGATAAAACTCTTAATTCCACTATTACAAAAAATTAAAATATCAGAGTTAGGAAGATTTATCATCGGGCTTTTAATTTGACATAATACAAATAACTGACTTCCTCCATTCTAAACCAAAAGTTAAGGGGATCAAAAGATCAAGAATTACAGTCACTCAAAAAGGATAGGCTGAATCTCAGAAATACACTTCATTGACTTCACAAGTTTGCAAATCTCCTAGTTCCTACACTTATCTGATATGTGTTTCTTCTTTTTTACATGATCCATCAAGATGAGGCTCAGAGTTAGGGATCCTAAAACAAGAAAGACTTAATTCTCAAACCAAGGCCGAATCAAATAAGAAAACCTTCACACAGACCCTTCCTAAAACTTCCACAGGGTATTACTCTGAAATCCACCCATATTTAAACAGTTATCATCTCCCTTGGAATTAACCACAGTGAAATAACATCTACAGTCATAGTGCCCGTATAACATTTTTTTGCTAGAATTTATTTGATCACTGAACGCTTTTTCCCTTAGCTCTGGTTAAGTACAAGCAGATTAGCTCCTCACCATCTCATTTGATCTTCATATTCTCTCTATCCTGTGAAGTAAAAATAGTGGACATATTATGGATCTTTTATGGGTGCAAAATACAGATATTAAAAGACTAAGTAACTTGCCTAAGGTTATACAACTCCCCAACTGCCCACAATTCCTGTCTGCACTAAGAAAGGGCACCCTTTCTATCCATTCATCTTCAGTGCAAGAAATGCTTTGGTATCAGTTGAAATAACAAGAAAAGTTAAAGATGGTGAAAATCATTCAGGTTCCTATCTTGGGCTACACCGACAATGTTTTTTTACCTTATCTGACTAGAAAAAGAAGTTTGTCCATGTGATATCCTTTGTTTGGTGCTTTTTTGCAGGAATTCATTTTATACAGAAGAATGTCCATCTCATGTACATCTGTCTTCAGTCTCTATGATGAGAACAATTTGAGAATCACTGGGACAAAAGGTACATAAATAAGAATCAGAGAAGGAAGGAAAGTAGATTAAAGATGTTAGATGATATGGAATTTCACCTGTAAGTAATAGAGAAGAGAGGTAGGTAGTAGAAAATAAAAGCAAAGGAAGAGTGGGAGATACTCCCAGGTGCACCATACATCTTGGAATTGTCAGTCTGAAGAAACATGAAATTATTAACTGTACGTGAGCAACCGGAATGCATGAAAGTTAAGAATAGAAGAGAAAGCCTCCAATTTACTTTCCTTAGAGTAATTTTCCACAGACAAAAGTAAGGTAAGAATGTGGAGGCCAATAGGTGTCTACATGGGCAAAAGAGAAAAGGAAGCTTCTAAGCTAATTTGAAGAGAATCAAAGATATTTTTTTCCTATTTCAATTTTCTGAAACTCAGTTTGCGTGTGTTTATACAAATGTGAATATGTATTGTCATACACAAATATGTGTCCATATGTTGTACTTGTTCCATAATATTTGATGGCTAGTTACAAATGTCACTAATCACGTAAAAACAAATGTTCTGTTGTTTCCTAATAGCTGTGCTGCAAAATGTCGATGTATTGCCTCAATTTCCCATGAATTCTGTTTATGGACTTTTAAAACTGACTTTTCTGTATGCTCTCCCTCCTTTCTTTCTTTCTAGCTCCGCTTTGCAGGGATGCTACTGATAATTTCTGTCAAATTTTACATAGGAATTTATCGTCCCCCACATTGAATAGCAAAAAATATATCTCAACATATATTTTTAAAGGAAAAATTTAAGTGTATTTACAGGGTTGTACAAGCATCAACATGATACAATTCTCAAACATTGTCATCACACCACAAAGATACCGCATATTCATTTTGCCAATCTCCATACCCTCCCTATGTCCATGCAGCCATTATTCTGTATTCTGCCTCTATAGATTTGCCTTTTCTGAACATTTAGTGTAAACTGATTGACACAATACATAAAATAATTTTTTTTCAGTTTCCTCCATGTTGTAGCACATATCAATACTTCATTCTTTTTTTATTGCCAACTTGTATTCTGTTTCATTGAAAGCACTTTTGAAAAATAAGTACTGTATATAAAAAAAAAATCAAGGATAATACTTGTAGATGTCTCATTATAGGATTTTGTTATAATTATTAATATTGCACCTTTTAAATTACATATTCAAACAGTGAAACATGCACAGTGTCCTAGTATAGGAGTACTTAGTATAGGAGTACTTATTTTGTATAAAATGCATAATTATATTAATGTAAAATTTAAAAATCACAAATATATAATTTTTTAAACATAGTTTATAATAATATGGAGAGAAGTTCCATTACTGTATGAACCCCAATGGATTATCTTGTGTTTCTCATGTTTGGACCTGGGGTGAGCACATTTTATTTTGGAGACTAGTATAATACAGACTAAAGCTTAATTTTTTTTTTTTCAAACTGTATAGAATTCCTATTTAGACAAAGTTATAGTCAGAAAAAATAAACTGCTTATACAAGCAATGTCATAATTATTTAAGTGACTAAATAAAATATAATCAACTGATGATACTCTAATTACTAATTTCCCATAAGTTTAAACTGAGTAATCTAACCTTTTTTTCTATCATTTAACTAGAAAAAAAGATGAAACTCACTGCAAATTTAAAACTTAATTGCAATTGCATTATTTTTCTCATTTTTCAAATAAACATATATAAAAATATAGTAAGTATATATTAAAATATATGTTCTGTGTGGTCAATTCCAGATCTACTATATTTTAATTTTATTAGCTGAGATAGTAAAAATTATTTATATATTCTAAGTTCTGTATTATGTAAAAATATCTATGAGAAGGTTCTCATTGGGCTACCATTCTAAGCCCTGAGAGAAAAGAAAGTAATGGGTATGTGGTGAACAAATAAGACTGAATTAATATTTAGTATTAATTAGAATTTAAAAACAAGATGTGAAACGGATGTGAATTGATACCCTGTCAAGTGTATAACTAGGAGTATTCCTACAAGTTAAGGGAAATGTATAGATCCTGTTTGACATCCTGGTGACTAGTTTCAAGCATGAAATGCACAAGGGCACAAAAGCAGAACTATGTGATGGGAGATAGCAAGACACACATTCAGAAACCAGCAGATAGATAAAAGACAGGAAGTAGGAATTCTATAGGAAATGAAGGAGAAAAGCAACAACAAAAATGCTTTGTTCTGTGACAATGGAGAGAAAGACCCAAACTCAGCAACTAGCAATTAGAAACAGTAGACTACCACTAACAGCAACAAAAACAAACAAAACAAATAACCTTGATAATGATTAAGTTTTGTTTCAATCAGAAAATTTCTAATATACCTCAGGCAAAGTTGCCCAGAGTTCTATGGGAGTGCAGTCATCTATAAGCATGTAGTTAAACGGGAATGAATGTGTGGCTAGAACAGTATCTTTGTGAGGAATCAGTAGAATGAAGGATAGAAAGGTTAATTTATGATACAGAAAAGTTTGGGGGCATAATTTATTTTCTACTAGGAAGTACTTGTTGTGGAAAATCGTGTTTTTTATCTGGAGAGGAGCTAAGAAACAGAAGAAAAGGTGATAATAACAGATAACATTTTGTTCTATTTTATTCTTCAGGTGAAAAGTGATGGAAACAGAGAACAACACAGTGGTGACAGAATTCATCCTCCTTGGTCTGACTCAATCTCAAGATGCTCAACTCCTGGTCTTTGTGCTGGTCTTAATTTTCTACCTCATAATTCTCCCTGGGAATTTTCTCATCATTCTCACCATAAGATCAGATCCTGGACTCTCAGCCCCTCTTTACTTCTTCCTAGGCAACTTGGCCTTCCTGGATGCATCTTACTCCTTCATTGTGGCTCCCAGGATGTTGATGGACTTCTTCTCTGAGAAGAAGGTAATCTCCTACAGAGGCTGCATCACTCAGCTCTTTTTCTTGCATTTTCTTGGAGCAGGGGAAATGTTCCTTCTTGTTGTGATGGCCTTTGATCGCTACATTGCCATCTGCCAACCTTTACGCTATTCAACTGTCATGAATTCGAGAGTTTGTTATGCATTATTGTTGGCTCTGTGGCTTGGGGGCTTTGCCCATTCCATTGTACAAGTGGCCCTTATCCTGCACTTGCCTTTCTGTGGCCCAAACCAGTTGGATAACTTCTTCTGTGATGTCCCACAGGTCATCAAACTGGCCTGCACCAACACCTTTGTGGTGGAGCTCCTCATGGTCTCCAACAGTGGCTTGCTCACCCTTTTGTGCTTCCTTGGGCTTCTGGCCTCCTATGCAGTCATCCTCTGCCGTGTAAAAGGGCACTCCTCTGAAGGAAAGAACAAAGCTATCTCTACCTGCGCCACACACATTATCATTGTGTTTCTTATGTTTGGACCTGCTATTTTTATCTACACTCGCCCTTTCCGAGCTTTTCCAGCTGACAAAGTTGTTGCTCTCTTCCATACAGTGATCTTTCCTTTGATGAACCCTGTGATTTATACCCTTCGCAACCAGGAAGTGAAAGCTTCCATGAGGAAGTTGTTAAGTCAGTACACAGTTTGCTGAATAGAATAGAAGAATAAGGAAAGCAAGAAAGGAAAAAGTCCAGTTGGAATTCACTAAATCATTTTTTGGTCATGCGTTGAATCAGTCAATAATTTAGCAAATACTATATTTATTAAGCATTTTCAATTTTCAGGTACTATTCTAGGCATGTGAATGAGACAGGTAAGATTCCAGGTCTCATGGGATTACTTTTAAGTGGACAAATACAGATTAAGCTATTAAATTTAAAAACAACTATAATTTCAGAAAGAGATAGTGTTTTGTAGCAAGCAAACAATAGTACTATGCTAGAGATTACCTGAGAAAGGTGGCAATTACCTTACTTTTTGTTTTCAATTAAGGTCTTGTTGAGTGGAATTTAGCTGATACCAAGATGTTTTGAAAGAAACAACCATGCAATCACCTGAGGACAAAAATCCTAGGCAGAAAGTTTGACTAGTTCAAGGACTCAAATATCTTATGAACTTGGTACTTTTGAAGACCATAAAAAGGAATAGTGAAACTATAGTGTAGTTAATGAGTGTGAAGATGGCAAAAATTGAAGTTGGAGAAGTTGATAGAAGCAAAATCATGTCAAATATTTTAGGCAATTTTAAGCAGTGTTATAAAATTCAATTTGCTCAGTTCAAAAGGAGACTATTATTGAAAGATATTAAGCAGTGTAGTAACTATCTAATGTTTCTGTTTGACTTAAGACCAGATCCTCAAGATTCTGGCTAGAGGGCTATGAATAGTATTCTTGTTTTTGTTTGTTTCCATATGAATTTGTGTACTGTCTTATCTAGGTCTGTGAAAAATAATGTTGGCAATTCAATAGTTATTCCATTGTTTAAATTGGTCCCTAATCATAATGCTGAAGTGCTGATAAGTGTTTCTAGGCACAAGATGGCTATGATGTGCCTCAAGGAGAAAACATTTTTTAAGTAAGCTTCATTCAAACATGTTGAAGTTCCAATGTTTGAGTTCAATGTTAATGAATCAACAGGTATGTTAAACAAGATGTCTCTAAACTGAAGTACATGTCAAACATTATGTACTGATTGATTGATGATAATGTTGAACTAGAGATTCACAGAAACTTAAGTCTATATTTATTTCTCCTAGGAGCAATGGTTCAATTTTAGCTTGTCCGGTGTTTGGGATGACATTGTCCAGTTCTCATTATTTGAGGAGAATGAGCTATCTTAAGTAAATGAAAGATATTGTAACTACCCAATATATTTGAGGCAAGAATCATTATTAGAGTGTAGAAGGAAATTTCACAATTATAAAAATATCAGTCTACAAAGGAAATAGCACAATCCTAAATCTGATGTACTCTACAGTTTCTATTTTCTATAATGGTTGTATAGAATTATTATCATTTCCTTCTTAAATGTTGCAAGGAATTCAGCACATATTTTTCTTTTATGGAAAATTTATAACATTAAATTTAATATGAGATATATAGGTTAGATGGAATATACGGGTAATATATTTCTTTAGAGTAAGTTGTGGAGGTTTGTTTGTTTTAAGAAATTGGTCTATTTTATCTAAGGTGTTGAATTGATAGGTATAGAGTTTTTCATAATAATTCTTTATTACTTTTTTTTGTATCTTTGAGGCTGTTAGTAATGTCCCCTCCTATTCTGATAATTTGGTACATTCTCTCTGGTTCATATTCTGATTCCCATTCTTCTCTCTCTCTCTCTCTCTCTCTCTCTCTCTCTCTCTCTCTCTCTCTCTCCCCCTCT